AGATTGATAGACTGCTAGCAAGAACAATAAAACAAGAGAGAGAGAGAAGAATCAAATATATGCAATATACAATGATAAAGGGGATATCATCACTGATCTCACAGAAATACAAACTACCATCAGAGAATACTATAAACACCTCCACACAAATAAACTAGAAAATCTCCAAGAAATGGATAAATTCCTGGACACATACACCCTCCCAAGACTAAATCAGGAAGAAGTTGAATATCTGAATAGACCAATAGCAGACTCTGAAATTGAGGCAATAATTAATAGCATACCAGCCAAAAAAAGCCTAGGACCAGACAGATTTACAGTCAAATTCTACCAGATGTACAAAGAGAAGCTGGCACCATTCCTTCTGAAAGTATTCCAGTCAATAGAAAAAAGGGAATCCTCCCTAATTCATTTTATAAGGCCAACATCATCCTGATACCAAAGCCTGGCAGATACACACACACACACACACACACACAAAAGAGATAACTTTAGACAAATATCCCTGATGAACATCGATGTGAAAATCCTCAATAAACTAGTGACAAACCAAATCCAGCAGCACATCAAAAAGCTTATCTACCACAATCAAGTCGGCTTCACTCCTGAGATGCAAGGCTGCTTCAACATATAAAAATCAATAAACATAAAACCCATCACATAAATAAAACCAACAACAAAACCACATGATTATCTCAATGGATGCAGAAAAACTCTTTGACAAAATTCAACAGCCCTTCATGCTAAAAACTCTCAATAAACTAGGTATTGATGGAATGTATCTCAAAATAATAAGAGCTATTTATGACAAACCCACAGCCAATATTTTACTGAATGGGCAAAAACTGGAGGCATTCCCTTTGAAAACTGGCATAAGACAAGGATGCCCTCTCACACCACTCATATTCAACATAGTGTTGGAACTTCTGGCCAGAGCAATCAGGCAAGAGAAAGAAATAAAGTGTATTTAATTAGGAAAAGAGGAAGTCAAATTGTCCCTGTTTGCAGATGACATGTTGGTATATTTAGAAAACCACGTTGTCTTGGGCCAAAATTTCCTCAAGCTGATAAGCAACTTCAGCAAAGTCTCAGGATACAAAATCAATGTGCAAAAACCACAGGCATTCCTTTATACCAATAACAGACAAACAACCAAATCATCAGTGAACTCCCATTCCCAATTGCTACAAAGAGAATAAAACACCTAGGTATCCAACTTACAAGGGATGTGAAGGACCTCTTCAAGAACTACAAACCACTGTTCAACAAAATACAAGAGGACACAAATAAATGCAAGAACATTCCATACTCATGAATAGGAAGAATCAATATCATAAAAATGGCCACACTGCCCAAGGTAATTTATAGATTCAATGCCATCCCCATCAAGCTACCAATGACTTTCTTCACAGAATTGGGGAAAAAAAACTACTTTAAAGTTCATATGGAACCAAAAAAGAGCCCACATTGCCATGACAATCCTAAGCCAAAACAACAAAGCTGGAGGCATCACGCTACTTGACTTCAAACTATACTACAAGGCTACAGTAACCAAAACAGCATGGTACTGGTACCAAAACAGATATATCGACCAATGGAACAGAACAGAGGCCTCAGAAATAACACCACAAATCTACAACCATCTGATCTTTGACAAACCTGACAAAATCAATAAATGGGGAAAGGATTCCCTATTTAATAAATGGTGCTGGGAAAACTGGCTAGCCATATGCAGAAAGATGAAGCTGACTCCCTTCCTTACACCTTATACAAAAGTAATTCAAGATGGATTAAAGACTTAAATGTTAGACCTAAAACCATAAAAGCCCTAGAAGAAAACCTAGGCAATACTATTCAGGACATACGCATGGGCAAAGACTTCATGAATAAAACACCAAAAGCAATGGCAACAAAAGCCAAACTAGACAAATGGGATCTAATTAAACTAAAGAGCTTCTGCACAGCAAAAGAAACACTATCAGAGTGAGCAGGCAACCTACAGAATGGGAGAAAATTTTTGGAATCTACTCATCTGACAAAGGGTTAATATCCAGAACCTACAGAGAACTTAAACAGATTTGCAAGAAAAAAACAAACAACCCCATCAAAAAGTGGGCAAAGGTTATGAACAGACACTTCTCAGAGAAGACATTTATGCAGCCAACAGATATGTGAAAAGATGCTCATCATCACTAGTCATCAGAGAAATGTTAATCAAAACCACATTGACATACCATGTCATGCCAATTAGGATGGCGATCATTAAAAAGTGAGGAAACTACAGATGCTGGAGAGGATGTGGAGAAATAGGTATGCTTTTACACTATTAGTGGGAGTGTAAACTAGTTCAACCATTGGGGAAGACAGTGTGGCGATTCCTCAAGAATCTAGAACTTGAAATACCATTTGACCCAACAATCTCATTACTGGCCACATACTCAAAGGATTGTATATCATGCTACGATAAAGACACATGCACACATATGTTTATTTGACACTATTCACAATAGTAAAGACTTGGAACCAACCCAACTGTCCATCAAAGATAAACTGGATTAAGAAAATGTGGCACATATATATCATGGAATACTATGCAGCCATAAGAAAGGATGAATTCATGTCCTTTGCAGGGACATGGATGAAGCCAGAAACCATCATTCTGAGCAAACTATCACAAGGACAGGAAACCAAACACCACATGTTTTCACTCATAGGTGGGAATTGAATAATGAGAACACCTGCACACAGCAGGGAGAACATCACACACCGGGGCCTATTGGGGTTGGGGGGGAAGGGGGAGGGATAGCATTAGGAGAAATACCCAATGTAAATGATGAGTTGATGGGTGCAGCAAACCAACATGGCACATGTATACCTATGTATCAAACCTGCACGTTGTGCACATGTACCCTGGAACTGAAAGTATAATAATAATAATAATAAAACATCACTGTTCATGTCAAAGCTACACATACACTGTCAAAGCTACACTGTTGCTGCCTGCACAGACTAACTCTGTGGAGGGAAATGAAGCTATGGTACACAAAGATATACAGGTAATGGACACAAAGGGAGTTTGGAAAGTTGTCTTCTTTCACTAGGGCTGCTATAACAAAACACCATAGACTTGAGGCTTATTAACAGCAGCCATTTATGTCTCACAGCTGGAATTCCAAGATCAAAGCATGCCAGAAGCAGTGTCTGGTGATAACCAGCTTCTTGATTCACAGACACTGTCTTCTTGCTGTGTCCTCACATAGTGGAAGGTGCGATGGAGCTCTCTGGAGTCTCTTTTTATAAGTACGCTCATCCCTTTCATGAGACTCCACCCTCATGACCTCAATATCTCTCAAAGGCTCCATCTCCCAACACCATGACCTTGAGTGTTACGATTTTCATGCAGAAATTTTGGAGGAACACAAACATTCACACCATAGCAGAATAGTAATATAAAAAATGAAAAGGTCAAGGGTGGTAGCTCACAGCTGTAATTCCAGCATTTTGGGGGGCTGAAGTGGGCAGATCACTTGAGGTCAGGAGTTTCAGACCAGCCTGGTTAATATGATGAAACCCTGTCTCTACTAAAAATACAAAACTCAGACAGGTGTGGTGTCACCTGCCAGTGGTCTCAGCTACTCAGGGGGCTGAACAGGAGAATCATTGAGACTGGGAGGTGGAGGTTGCAATGTGCCAAGGTTGAGACAACTACACTCCAGCCTGAGCAACAAAGTGAGACTACCCCCACCCCCCCCCACCCCGCCCAAAAAAAAAATGTCCAGGCTTAGTGGCTCAAGCCTGGAATCCCAGCACTTTGGGATGCTGAGACGGGTGGCTCATGAGGTCTGGAGATCGAGACCATCCTGGCCATCATGGTGAAACCCCGTCACCACTAAAAATACAAAAATTAGCTGGGTGTGGTGGTGTGTGCCTGTAGTTCCAGCTACTTGGGAGGCTGAGGCAGGAGAATTTCTTGAACCTGTGAGGCGGAGGTTGCAGTGAGCCAATATCATGCGGCTGCACTCCAGCCTGGGTGAAAAAGTGAGACTCCATCTTAAAAAAAGAAAAAAAAAGTGAATAAATGATATAGAAAGAAAAAGAAGAGGAGCTGTTAATTAAGTTAAAGGAACTTGGTGAGATTTCAGGAACAAAATGGCTTTAAAGCTGGGACTTTAAAGCTGGGCATTCAGCATATAGAGATGGTGCTAGGGAGGAAAATGAGAGTGAGGTCAGAGAGGATGGGAGGAGATAAGAAAAGCGAAAGAACAGAACCAAGAGGAAAAGCAGAACTAAGTCTAGGGGAGAAGGGAATTTGGAAAAGCAGAGGCCATTGACCTCTCTATAACTTTGTGAATAACTCTTTGTGTTTGTCTGACCTGGGAAAAAGTTCCAGAGCAACCACTTTCAAGATTGGGCAGCTTTCTCAATTACTCTAAGTCTCATCTTTTATTTATTTTTGTTTTTATGTTTGTTTGTTTTTACAGTAGTTTGCACAAGAGTAGCAACTACTCAGAGTGGGGTGCATGGAATAAACTCAAAAAAAGTCATGCTTTAAGAAAATGCTTAGTCCAATGGCTATCATCAAATATCCTCATTAAGAAATAACCAAATACAAGAAAAATTTGAAGGCATGGAGTTGACTAATGGTTTAAAGAGTTAGCCCTGTATAATTATAAAATTTACAGACCTGAGATTTATGAATATTCTGTTTTCTAAGTACAGTTGATTTTCATTATTTATACATTTTGTCTTTCTGAACTTTCCTGCTCACTAAACTTTGTAACCTCAAAATCAATATGGCACTTTTGCAGTCATTTGCAGAGACACACACAAAGCTGGAAAAAAATGTAAATTGCTCAAAGTGCACATTCCCAGCTACAGTGGAACAAGGCCATGCTCTACCTTCTTATTTCAGCTATCACACTTTAAACAAGTGGAATTATTATGGTCCATTGAGTACCATCGGTTTTGCATGTTTGTGCTTTTGTTGGTGATTTTGCTGTTTAAAACAGCCTGAAGCCCTGGTGGAGCGGAAGTCACTCCCTGAGGCAGTGGCGACAGCCGCAGCGAGAGGATGAACAACAAGTTCGACGCTTTGAAAGATGATGACAGTGGGGACCATGATCAAAATGAAGAAAACAGCACACAGAAAGATGGTGAGAAGGAAAAAACGGAACGAGACAAGAATCAGAGCAGTAGCAAGAGAAAGGCTGTTGTTCCTGGACCAGCAGAGCATCCCCTGCAGTACAACTACACTTTTTGGTACTCCAGGAGAACCCCCGGCCGTCCCACCAGCTCACAGAGCTATGAACAGAGTGTCAAACAGATTGGCACCTTTGCCTCTGTGGAGCAGTTCTGGAGATTTTATAGCCACATGGTACGTCCCGGGGACCTGAAAGGCCACAGTGACTTCCATCTCTTCAAAGAAGGAATTAAACCCATGTGGGAGGATGATGCAAATAAAAATGGTGGCAAGTGGATTATTCCGCTGCGGAAGGGCTTGGCCTCCCTTTGCTGGGAGAATCTCATTTTGGCCATGCTGGGGGAACAGTTCATGGTTGGGGAGGAGATCTGTGGGGCTGTGGTGTCTGTCCGCTTTCAGGAGGACATTATTTCAATATGGAATAAGACTGCCAGTAACCAAGCAACCACAGCCCGAATCCGGGACACACTTCGGCGAGTGCTTAACCTACCTCCCAACACCATTATGGAATACAAAACTCACACCGACAGCATCAAGGACAATTCAAGCTTTCGAAATACAAAAATCACATTGTGAAAGTACACAAGCTGGCAATAATCCTTTTCTGTATGTATGTGTTTGTCCGAAATGGATGGGAGGCCTCCAGCCAGTGTTTCCATTGCTCACTGAAGGGACGTCCCTGTAGCCGTGCGCTCCCCTTTTGCACTCATTGCTGGAGGACGGATTCCGCTAGACAACCTCCAGCATCGCTGACTTTATAAGGCTGAAAAACGGAAAACGTGACTTTGTGATAGACATTGTTTTTTAATGGGGTTCCGTGGGGGACGTTCAGCCTTTCTGTTTGCTGTGTCCTGTCCAGATGCCTCTTGGGCATCCTGTTGTTCTCTTCCCGTGCTGTAGGAAGGGTACCATGGCCACGTGTAGATGCCAGAGCTGTTGATGAGAGTTACCAGTATTATGAATGTCTGTGCATCCAGGAAAAGCTTTCTGTTGGAGAGTCCCAGAAGAGCTGTAAATGCTGTCTTCTAGCTATGCCATTAAATTATTGGGACACTTAAAAATAATAATAATAAAAAAAATAAATAAAACAGCCTGAAGAACAGAGCTGAAGTGCTGTCTGGGGTCCCCAGTATAAAAAAACTACAATGTGCCTCACAGGAAATATCTCTGTGTTAGAGAAGCATTATTCAGGCATGAGTCATGGTGCTGCTGGACATGACTTCAGTGTGAATGAGTCAACAATATCTACTCAGAAAGATTTTCTTAAACAGAAACATACATAAAACAAGATTAGGTATTGACTGGTTGATGAAAATGTTGTGACCAGACATCATAGAAACCTAATCTTGTATTTCCCCTAGGAGCAATAGTTTATGATTTGCTAAGTCGGTGTTTATGGTGATTTTTTTTTTTTTTTCTTTTTTGAGATGGAGTCTTGCTCTGTTGCCAGGCTGGAGTGCACTGGAACGATCTTGGCTCACTGCAACCTCTGACTCCCTGGTTCAAGTGATTCTCCTGCCTCAGCCTCCTGAGTAGCTGGGATTACAGGCATGCACCCCAATGCCCAGCTACTTTTTGTATTTTTAGTAAAGATGGCCAGGATGGTCTACAACTCTCACAAATACTGAGAACTTAATGTAATTTCCATTTTTATTTCTACTAAATTGTGACCTTAATCAACCTAGAAGCCTGTTAGGTTTGCCCATTGCTGCATTGCTGATGATTGTCCCGATGGTGGGCTTATAATAGGCATTTGATTAATATTAGATTTATACATCAGGTGAGTAAGGAGGAGATTGGTTTCATTAATGCCACATAGTCACCATGCAAAAGGTGTCACATTTATTAGGGAAGTGTGACACTGGCATGGAGAAATCAAATGAATAAAATTCCTATAGTAAATCATGGCTGAACATAATGTAAAATAATCATTGTGGAATAGAAATTATAATTACTTCTCCAATATTCAGTTCAATAACACTCTAGGAAGGCAATTACATTACTAATATCTATTTTGACCAATTGTCTGTTCCAGTCATTAAAATGAATGACAACTACAAAGCCTAAAGTATGCATACACTTCTTCTATTATTTTTTTGTGGCTGTTGTAACAAATTACTACAATCTGAGTGGATTGTGGAACCAGCCAAAATGCCCATCAATCAACAGGTTGACAAAGAAACTATGAAATTATATCTATCTATCTATCTATCTATCTATCTATACACACACACACACATACACACCATGGAATACTACTCAGCCATAAAAAGGAATAAATTAATGGCATTTGCAGCAACCTGCATGGGATTAGAGAAGATTATTCTAAATGAAGTCACTCAGGAATGTAAAACCAAACATCTTATGTACTCACTCATAAGTAGGAGCTAAGCTGTGAGGATGCAAAGGCATAAGAATATACAATGGACATTGGGGACTTAGGAAAAAGGGCAGGAGGCGGGTGAGGTATAAAAGATTACAAATTGGGTTCAGTGTGTATTGGTCTGGTGATGGGTGCACCAAAGTCTCACAAACCACCATTAAAGAACTTACGTAACCAGATACCACCTGGTCCCCCAAAACCAATGGAAATGAAAAAAAAAATGTAAAAAGATATCAGGAATTTGTTCTCTCAGACTTCTGGAAGCCAGAAATCCAAAATCAATGTGTGAGCAACAATACACCCTCTCTGGAGACTCAAAGAGAGAATCTGTTCTTTGCCTCTTCTGGCTTCTGGTGCCTTTTGATGTTCTGTCTTTTGGCCACATCACTCCAACGTCTACCTCCATGGTCACATCACCTTCTCTTCTTCTGTCTTTCTTGTCCTTTGTGCATATTTTGTTTAAGCCACCCAGTTTATGGCATTTGATATAGCATTAGAGGTAGGTCTGCCCAAATAACCCAGGATGACATCCTCATCTCAAGACTTTTAGCTTAATTACATCTACAAAGACCCTAATGCCATAGAAGGTCACATTCACAGTGTCTTAGTTCAGGATCATTAACTAATGCTTTAAGCTGAGTGGCTTGAGCAACAAATGTTATTTCCCATAGTTCTGGAGCCTGGAAAGATGAAGATGCTGGCAGATCTGGTGTCTACTGAGGGCCTTCTTCCTCCTTCCTGGTCTGCAGATGGTGCCGTGTCTCTGTACCTTCACATGGAGGAGAGAGGGAGCTCTGAGTCTCTTTCTCTTGCTATAAAGACATTAATCCCATCGTGCAGGTGCCGCCCTCATGATCTCATCTAAACCTACATACCTCCCACAGGCCCCACCTACTAAGACCATCCCACTGGGGATTAGGGCTTCCACATATGGATTTAGGGAGGATGTGCTGTATTAGTTTATTCTTAAGCTGCTAATAAAGACACTCCTGATATTGGGTCATTCATAAAGTAAAATTGTTAATTGATTCATAGTTCCACATGGCTGGTGAGGCCTCACAATCATGGCAGAAGGCAAGGAGGAGCAAAGCCATATCTTCTTCTTACATGGCAGCAAGCAAGAGGGCTTGTGCAGGGGAATTCCTATTTATAAAACCATTGGCTCTCATGAGACTTACTCACTACTGTGAGAACAGTATGAGGAAAACTGTCCCCATGATTCAATTATCTCCACCTGGTCCTGCTCTTGACATGCGGAAATTATTACAATTTTTAAGGTGAGATTTGAGTGGGGACACTGCCAAACCATATCACATGCATTCCATAACTTAAACCAGGGATTAGAACGCGTACTCTGTAATTTAGACCAGGGATAAAATACAGACTTTCATTCTGAAGGCCATGTAACTTTCTACACGTCTATACGGAGAACCATCAAATCAGAAGAAAGCAGCAAATGCCATTGTGATTTTACGTAAAAGTAAAGAGAATAGCCACATAAATGCAAAGTAAAACAAAGTAGATCTGAACTTCTCTGGTTGGCAACTTGGAAGTATTTTGTTTCAATGACATACCAAATTCCTATCTTTGCATTTTCCCAGAACTGAGTTAAAATGACATTAATACTACAAAACTCATACAATGACTGTGGCAGCAAAAAAGAATGTGCTAATGTAAAAATTAGCATTAAGTTGAAATGCTGTGGAAAACACATGTGGAAGTCTTACCATTTTTGCTGCAGAATTGTGGCTGACAGACAGGGAACATAAATCATGACATCTTATTCAAAGACAATAAATGCACCAACTCAATTAACACAACCTGATAACAAGCCAAAATACTCTAGAAGGAAAAGAAGGTAACGTCTGAACATGTCCTCAGCTGACGAAAGTACACTTGGAAAGGGCATATATATAGCTGTTTCAAATGCTCCATTTCCGTATAAAGCACAAGGTTGACATGAATTAAAAGCAAGCTCCCAATGTGTTACTCTATAAGGTATGTTTCTGATGCCCTGAAGAATCTTATTTATATGACGCCAAATGCATTCATTCATTGACAAATTCATTCACTTACAGGTGCTCACAATGCATTCACTTTATGCTAGTGCCATTCTGGGCACTGCTGAGAGGTGTGGATAAATAGGACATACAAACTTCACATCCAAGGCAACTGAATCTAGATGTGCTCCAGCAAAGTGTAAGGTTCATTTATTTGTCTTCTGTCTCCTAGGAAGTAGATGAGGGTAGAATTATTACTAAGAAGGAAAATTGCAACCCCATCAAAGCTCATGTATACACAAACACATCTGCTCACCGAACATAGTACATCCAGTGAACAGTGTCCATATTGGCCAAATTTTTTCTGTGTTTCTTACCTTGGGAAAAGTTAAGACTCCTAACATTAACTGAGCAAAGATTTGCTTCTTTCAAGATCTTACATTTAGATCCAGGGTCATTCATTGAACTGTGTTAGAATATGTTACATGTGGATGAAAGGAATGGAATGAGATGATGGAGACTCAAAAGAGTAAGGAGACAGTAACCAAAACAGCATGGTACTTGTACCAAAACAGAGATATAAACCAATGGAACAGAACAGAGCGCTCAGAAATAATACGACACATCTACAGCCATCTGATCTTTGACAAACCTGACAAAAACAAGAAATGGGGAAAGGATTCTCTATTTAATAAATGGTTCTGGGAAAACTGGCTAGCCATATGTAGGCCATTACATAATAGTAAAGGGATCAAATCAACAAGAAAAACTAACTATCCTAAATATATATGCACGCAATCCAGGAGCACCCAGATTCATAAAGCAAGTCCTTAGAGACTTACAAAGAGACTTAGCCTCCCATACAGTAATAATGGGAGACTTCAACACCCCACTGTCAACATTAGACATATCAACAAGATAGAAAGTTAACAAGGATATCCAGAAATTGAACTCAGCTCTGCACCAAGCTGATCTAGTAGACATCTACAGAACTCTCCACCCCAAATCAACAGAATATACATCCTTCTCAGCACCACATCTCACTTCTTCCAAAATTGACCACATAATTGGAAATAAAGCACTCCTCAGCAAATGTACAAGAACAGAAATTATAACAAACTGTCTCTCAGACCACAGTGCAATCAAACTAGAACTCTGGACTCAGAAACTCAATCAAAACTGCTCAACTACATGGAAACTGAACAACCTGCTCCTGAATGACTACTGGGTACATAACGAAATGAAGGCAGAAATAAAGATGTTCTTTGAAACCAATGAGAACAAAGATACAACATACCAGAATCTCTGGGACACATTTAAAGCAGTGTATAGAGGGAAATTTATAGCACTAAATGCCCACAAGAGAAAGCAGGAAAGATCTAAAATTGACACCAT